TGCACTGTATATTGATAGGCACAAGGATGTCTGCGTTTGTGAACAGCTTTTTGTCTGTTTCGCTAATCCAGCTTGGGATAAGGCACTTTCTAAACTGCGTCTTTCTAATTGGATTATGGAGGCTATCTTCCTGGCGTATGACAACAAAGGGCAAGGGTTGCCTAGCGGTGTGCCTGCTCAATCTACTAGGGGTATGGCGGCTTCTTGGGCATTGTTCAGGGACATGACAATTGTTTATCTGTGCTGCAGTGAGTTGGGGTTCCCCACATACTGTACCTTTGTGCTTTTATTGCTTGGATGTAGCTGCTCCCAGTGTGGCTCATAGTGTTCTTATGGCTGGGTCTGGGAGTGGCTGTTGAGCAGCGCACAGGTTGCGCATTTATCCAGGTTACCACAGTTCTCCTGTGGGATTGAGCCTTGCGCTGTCTTGGTGTCCGCCACTGCGCAGATTCAAGTTTTAATGTCACATAAACAAGTACAGTGAAATGCCCTAATTGCAAAATCAAAACCCAACAATGCAATAATCAATAACAATGTAATACTAGAAGAAGAAAAAACATGAGAAATATGAAATATAAAGAACACAATAAGTAAGCATACTATATAAAGGGTCAGTTCCAAATTCATATTTACAATGTGCAGGGATACTGGAGTGATGGAGGTAGATACAGTTGAAGTCGGAAGTTTACATACACCTTAGCAAAATACATTTAAACTCAGTTTTCATGACATTTAATCCTAGTAAAAAATTAAGTTAGGATCACCACTTTATTTTTAAGAATCTGAAATGTCAGAATAATAGTAGAGAGAATTATTTATTTCAGCTTTTATTTCTTTCATCACATTCCCAGTGGGTCATAACGTTTACATACACTCAATTAGTATTTTGTAGCATTGCCTTTAAATTGTTTAACTTGGGTCAAACGTTTCGGGTAGCCTTCCACAAGCTTCCCACAATAAGTTGGGTGAATTTTGGCCCATTCTTCCTGACAGAGCTGGTGTAACTGAGTCAGGTTTGTAGGCCTCCTTGCTCACACACGCTCTTTCAGTTCTGCCCACAAATTTACTATAGGATTGAGGTCAGGGCTTTGTGATGGCCACTCCAATACCTTGACTTTGTTGTCCTTACGTCATTTTGCCACAACTTTGGAAGTATGCTTGGGGTCATTGTCCATTTGGAAGAACCATTTGCGACCAAGCTTTAACTTCCTGACTGATGTCTTGAGATGTTGCTTCAATATATCCACATCATTTTCCTTCCTCATGATGCCATCTATTTTGTGAACTGCACCAGTCCCTCCTGCAGCAAAGCACCCCCACAGCATGATGCTGCCACCCCCGTGCTTCACAGTTGGGATGGTGTTCTTCGGCTTGCAACTCCCCCTTTTTCCTCCAAACATAATGATGGTCATTATGGCCAAACAGTTCCATTTTTGTTTCATCAGACCAGAGGACATTTCTCAAAAAAGTACGATCTTTGTCCCCATGTGCAGTTGCAAACCGTAGTCTGGCTTTTTTATGGCGGTTTTGGAGCAGTGGCTTCTTCCTTGCTGAGCGGCCTTTTCAGGAAGATGTCGATATAGGACTCGTTTTACTGTGGATATAGATACTTTTGTGCCTGTTTCCTCCAGCATCTTCACAAGGTCCTTTGCTGTTGTTCTGGGATTGATTTGCACTTTTCACACCAAAGTACACTCATCTCTAGGAGACAGAACGCGTCTCCTTCCTGAGCGGTATGACGGCTGCGTGGTCCTATGGTGTTTTACTTGCGTACTATTGTTTGTACAGATGAACGTGGTACCTTCAGGAGTTTGGAAATTGCTCCCAAGGATGAACCATACTTGTGGAGGTCTACCATTTTTTTTCTGAGGTCTTGGCTGATTTCTTTTGATTTTCCCATGATGTCAAGCAAAGAGGCACTGAGTTTGAAGGTAGGCCTTCAAATACATCCACAGGGTACACCTCCAATTGACTCAAATGATGTCAATTAGCCTATCAGAAGCTTCTAAAGCCATGACTTCATTTTCTGGAATTTTCAAAGCTGTTTAAAGGCACAGTCAAATTAGTGTATGTAAACTTCTGACCCACTGGAATTGTGATACAGTGAATTATAAGTGAAATAAGCTGTCTGTAAATAATTGTTGGAAACATGACTTGTCATGCACAAAGTAGATGTCCTAACCGACTTGCCAATACTATAGTTTGTTCACAAGACATTTGTGGAGTGGTTGAAAAACAAGTTTTAATGACTCCAACCTAAGTGTATGTGAACTTCCGACTTCAACTGTATGTATATGGGTAAGGTGACTAGGCAACAGGATATAAGATACAGAGTAGCAGCAGCAGCTTGTATATGAGTTTTATGTGTAGAGTCCGTATAAATCTATCTGCATATTATTTGTGAGTGAGCAGATGGAGTGATTGAGAGTGTGTGAGTGTGTAGGGCCCTGTGAGTGTGCATAAAGACGGTGCAAAAATAAAAGGTCAATAAAGATACAAGGTTAACTCCGGTAGTCTGTGTAGCTATTTTGTTAGCTATTTATCAGTATTATTGCATTTTCCGGGGCTCCCTTCCACTCCGCCTGATATAGATGTCCTCGATGGCAGGGAGCTCGGCCCCAGTGAAGTAGTGGGCTGCCCGCACCACCCTCTGTAGCTTCATGCGATCGAGGGCAGTGCTATTGCCATACCAGGCAGTGATGCTGTCAGTCAATATGCTCTCAATGGTACAGCTGTATAACATTTTGAGGATTTGCCAGCCCATGCCAAACCTTTTCAACCTCCTGAGGCGCAAGAGGCGCTGACGTGCCTTCTTCGCGACTGTGTGCGTGTGTTTGGAGATTAATTCTGAAGTGATTTGTACAGCAAGGAATTTGAAGCTCTCGACCTGCTCCAATACTGCCCAGCCTATGTGAACAGGAGAGGACTAAGCACACACCCCTGTGGGGAGGGTCAGTGTGGTGGAGGTGACGTTGCCTACCCTCACCACCTGGGGTCGGCCCGTCAGGAAGTCCAGGATCCAGTTGCAGAGGGAGGTGTTTAGACCCCGTGTCCTAAGCTTGGTGACGAGCTTGGAGGGGACAATGGTGTTGAACGCTGTGCTGTAGTCAATGAACAGCATTCTCACATAGGTATTCCTCTTATCTAGGTGGGTGATGGCAGTGTGGAGAGCAATTGCGATTGCGTCATCTATGGATCTGTTGGGGTGGTATGCAATTTGGACTGGGTCTAGGGTGTCTGGGATGGCGGAGTTAATGTGCCATAACCAACCTCTCAAAGCACTTCATGATTACAGAAGTGAGTGCTGCAGGGCGGTAGTCATTGTGGCATGAAGCCTTTGAGTTCTTTGGGACAGGAATGATGGTGGTCATCTTAAAACGTGGGTATTACAGACTGGGACAAGGAGAGGTTGAAAATTACTGTGAATATTCCTGCCAGCTGTTCTGCGCATTCTCTGAGAACGCGCCCTGGAATACCGTCGGGGCCTTGCGAATTTATCCGGCTTACCACAGTTTCCCTGTGGGTTCGAGCCTTGGGCTGCTGTGATTCGTTGACGAGGCGGCACGCAATTGCGCATTATCAAGCCACAGCAGGTGCCCTGTTGTTTTGGACTTGCATTCCTTGTGAGTTCTGGCATTCGACTCCTTAGGTGTCTGTGTGAGCCTTTTGGAACTGGTAGGGTCTATGGACTTGGGCCGCCGTGGACGATGTTAGGCAGCATTTTGTGGTCAATGTTAGGCAGCATTTTGTCAGGGTTACCACAGTTTCCCTGTGGGGTTTAGCCTTGGGCTGCTGTGGCAGTGTGCAAGTACACTGTTTCCAGGTTACTGCATGTTTTTTGTGGGTTTGATCCTCTGCTGCCGTGGTTCATCGACTCTGGGTGATGCTATGTAGCGAGCATGTGCGCTTTACCAAGTCATGACAAGTGTTCTGTTGTTTTGGACTTGCGGTTCCTTTTGACTTTTCAGGCATGTATGTTAAGTATTGTTCCTGGAAACGTGGGGTCTATGTACTTGGGCTGCAGTGGCAGCGTGTCAGTTCGCATAGCCAAGTTGCAGCAGGTTCTGGTTCCCTATATGGGGCTGTGACAGTTTAGGCCTCGTGAGGCTCAGTTCAGGGTTCTCGGGTAAGTATTAGGGGGAAAATGTGGCTTCTGTAACGCCTTTTTGGAGCCGGTGAAACCGGTCAGCTTGGGCTGCCGTGGGCCTCCTAGTTTGGTACCCTTTGAGCCAGCTTTGGGCGTGATTGAATGGCCCCGTAGTATGTTATACCGAGTGACCGACTGAAAGGGAAAGTACAGTTATGAATATAACTACTCTTCCCTAAAGGAGAGAACTATGTATAACATATTTTTTCCCCGCGCAGTCAAGGGATTTGGGCTCGCTGAAGAGCGGTAGTGAATTGAGGAAATGAATGCGAGTATGTTATACCTCGTTCCCTCCTTCAGGGAACAGTATTTATATTCAGAACTGTACATGTTCTTATTGGAGAATTTGCTCCCCACTGAACACGAACATGGATAGGGCCCTTCTGGCAGGTAGTGTAGTAAGAGGTTGCCCTCTTTTTTTTCTTTTTTCCTTTTTTTCTTCCCTAGTGTAGCCAGTGTTTAAGTTGAAGGTTGACATTTTGTGGAAGGCGTTCGAGCCCCTGTGTGTCTGACACTGGTTCAGTCTGGTCAGACGGACATAGCTGCTCATCCTCCGGAGAAGGAGTAGGAGGAGTCAGGACTGCCTGCACGTGCTGTAATTTCTGTCTTCTCTCTCTCTCTCTCGCTCTCGCATCCTCTCTACTCATTCATCTTTCTTTCTCTTCTACTTATCCCTCTCTCCTATTCCTGTCTTTCACCATTGCCTATCCTCCTCTCAAGTCTCTCTCTTGTTATCGCCATAGACCAGTGTTTCCCAAATAGTGGGTCACACAACCACAACCAATACCTTTAACTATCTGCAGCATCATTAGTTAACATGATCGTTGTTCTATTGGTATTGTCCCTCACAGGTGAATCAGACACCCGTATCCAGGAAAAGCTGGAGACCAAGGTGTGGGACCCTGACAACCAGCTCAAAGACCCCCAGATCGACCAGTTCCTGGTGGTGGCTCGGTGAGTGTCCCCTGTCCCCCTCCATCTGTCACAGGTTGCCCTGGTTACGTTACAACCCGGCCCTGTTGCTATGGAGGTTCTTGTCATCAGGACCTTGTTGTCAGGGTAGCACAATCATTTCCTTTAGACATATTTGAATGATCTTGCCTAAGCGCTGTAGTAGCAGGAGGACCCCAGTCAACACACAGCATGTTCAGGCCCAGGTCTGTTTTTGGAGGGAATCGCCATAATGTAGTGAATGACTCCTTTGTTGATTACATCAAGCTGGAGTGCCATCTAGTGGCCATATGATGGACATTCACACATTTACAAAACCGCATCTGATAGGGTGTTTTTGTGTAGGCTTTTTGATAAGTTAGGAATGTGTGTGTTTCAGTGCTGGGTTTGTCATAGATTCTAATGATGATATTTGATGGTTGTGTGTTCCAGTGCTGTGGGGACGTTTGCCCGGGCCCTGGATTGCAGCAGCTCCATCCGTCAACCCAGCCTACATATGAGTGCTGCAGCAGCCTCTAGAGACATCACACTGGTGAGACACACACACACTTTGTCCATGTTCCATGGTGACTAGACAATCAGCAATGTCTCTACTACCCCTAAACTAACGGACATCTACCTTGCCCTAATTAGTAGATGTAATGTACATTGTATCGAAATATATATCTAATACTATATACAATATCACATATTTACAAAACACCCGACTAAGGCAACCTGTGCCTAAATCTCCACTATCTAATCTCTCCCCGTCGCTAGTTTCATGCGATGGACACCCTGCAGAAGAACGGCTACGACCTGGCGAAGGCCATGTCCACGCTTGTGCCGCAGGGCGGGCCGGTCCTCTGCCGTGACGAGATGGAGGAGTGGAGTGCCTCAGAGGCCATGCTGTTTGAGGAGGCCCTGGAGAAGTACGGCAAGGACTTCAACGACATCCGCCAGGACTTTGTAAGTAGTGAACACACATCTCAATGACACACCTACGGTCCTTCATCCATGAATCCAATGTTCATTAGGGCACACAATGGAAAATGTTATTAAACATTTAGCCACGAAAGCAAAATGAGCGCTTCTTATTGGACAAGTCCAGGATGCTCCTACCTTTTTTGTGTCCGTTTTTTTCTCTCGTTTGGATACCTTAACACCTTCCATGTTGTCATGATATACACCTATGGTGTATGTTCTACTGGTCACAGATGGTGTTGATGGTGATTCTGATATGTGTGGTGTTTATTTTCATTTTCATTTTTTTAGTTGCCGTGGAAGTCACTAGCCAGTGTGGTCCAATTCTACTATATGTGGAAGACTACTGACCGCTACATCCAACAGGTAATTCACAACACCTCCTGTTCTCACCTCTCAATAAGGTAACCAAAAAAGTGTTAAAAGATTATTCAAATAGTCACCCTTTGCCTTGATGACAGCTTTGCACACTCTTGGCATTCTCTCAACCAGCTTCATGAGGTAGTCACCTGGAATGCATTTCAATTAACAGGTGTGCCTTCTTGAAAGTTAATGTGTGGAATTTCTTTCCTCCTTAATGTGTTTGAGCCAATCAGTTGTTTTGTGACAAGGTAGGGGGGGGGGGGTATACAGAAGATAGCCCTATTTGGTAAAAGACCAAGTCCATATTATGGCAAGAACAGCTCAAATAAGCAAAGAGAAACGACAGTCCATCATTAGTTTAAGACATGAAGGTCAGTCAATACGGAACATTTCATGAACTTTGAAAGTTTTTTCAAGTGCAGTCGCAAAAACCATCAAGCGCTATGATGAAACTGGCTCTGATGAGGACCGCCACAGGAAAGGAAGACCGAGAGTTACCTCTACTGCAGAGGATAAGTTCATTAGAGTTACCAGCCTCAGAAATTGCAGCCCAAATAAATGCTTCACAGAGTTCAAATAACAGACACATCTCAACAGCAACTGCTCAGAGGGGACTGTGTAAATCAGGCCTTCATGGTTGAATTGCTGCAAAGAAACCTCTACTAAAGGAAACCAATAATAAGAAGAGACCTGCTTGGGCCAAGGAACACGAGCAATGGACATTATACCAGTGGTAATCTGTCCAAGGGAATCGGTCTGGAGTCCAAATTGGAGATTTTTGGTTTCAACCGCCGTGTCTTTGTGAGACGTGGTGTGGGTGAACGGATGATCTCCACATGTGTAGTTCCCACCGTAAAGCATGGAGGAGGTGGTGTTATGGTGTGGGGTTGCTTTGCTGGGGACACTGTCTGTGATTTATTTAGAATTCAAGGCACACTTAACCAGCATGGCTACCACAGCATTCTGCAGCGATACGCCATCCCGTCTGGTTTGGTCTTAGTGGGACTATCATTTGTTTTTCAACAGAACAATGACCCAAAACACACCTCCAGGCTGTGTAAGGGCTATTTTACCAAGAAGGAGAGTAATGGTTTGCTGCATCAGATGACCTGGCCTCCACAATCCCCCGACCTCAACCCAATTGAGATGGTTTGGGATGAGTCGGACGGCAGAGTGAATTAAAAGCATCCAACAAGTGCTCAGCATATGTGGGAACTCCTTCAAGACTGTTGGAAAAGCATTGCAGATGAAGCTGGTTGAGAGAATGCCAAGAGAGTGCAAAGCAGTCATCAAGGCAAAGGGTGGCTACTTTGAAGAATCTCAAATATAAAACATTTTGGTTTGTTTAACACTTTTTTGGTTACTACATGATTCCATATGTGTTACTTACATTTTCATAGTGTTGATATCTTCACTATTATTCTACAATGTAGAAAATAGTAAAAAAATAAAGAAAAACTCTTGAATGAGTAGGTGTCTCAACTTTTGACTGGTACTGTACTTGTTATTCCTGTGCTAATTTATCAAATGTTTATACCCTTTCAGAAACGACTAAAGGCAGCAGAAGCAGACAGCAAGCTGAAGCAGGTGTACATCCCCACCTAGTGAGTATCAGTCTGAACTGCACTAACCTCAATATACTATCCTTGCATCAAATACCATAATGACACATTTTTCCCTCCAGCACCAAACCCAACCCTAACCAGATCATGGCTCCTGGTAACAAGCCCGGCATGAACGGGGCCGCTGGCTTCCAGAAAGGACTGAGCTGCGAGAGCTGCCATAGTGAGTACATGTGTGTTTTTGTGTGTCTTGAAAGTCTCTCTGTCTCACTATACTGATAAATGCATGTATACCTGTGCATGACAGGACGTTAACTTTGCTACTTTTCTTAATTTTTTCATTTTCTTGTTGGGGGGAGGGGCTACATGCACAATACACAAATTCAGATAATTGAATGGTTGGCTTGCATCAGAGGCAAAAAGTAACTAAGTTTAGTATGTGTGAAGGGAGGGAAAGAAGTAAAGAGTTGAGCCTCCACCCCCAACCCCACTCATCCAACATGTCTCCCTCCAACCACCCACCTCCCGCCCCATCACTCGGAAACCATGTTTTCCACCCCTTCCCACCCCCCCTAGCAACCCTCCCCATACCACCCCTTCCCCGTGGGCCTGAATGCAAAGAAAGTAAAACAGATGAAAATGGGTACATTTACATTGCCTTCAGAAAGTATTCACACCGCTCAACCTTTTCCACATTTTGTTTTTACACCCTGAATTTAAAATTGATTCAATTTAGATTTTGTGTCACTGGCCTACACACAATACCCCATAATTTCAAACAGATATTATTAATTACACTTTGGATGGTGTTTCAATATACCCAGTCACTACAAAGATACAGGTGTCCTTCCTAACTCAGAAGGCCGGAGAGGAAGGAAACCGCTTGGGGATTTCACCATGAGGCCAATGGTGACTTTAACATTTTTACAGAGTGTAATGGCTGTGATAGGAGAAAACTGAGGATGGATCAACAACATTGTAGTTATTCCACAATACTAACCTAAATGACAGAGTGAAAAGAAGGAAGCCTGTACAGAATAACAAATATTTTCCAAAACAAGCATCCTGTTTGAAATAAGGCACTAAAGTAAAACTGCAAAAAAATTGGCAAATATTGACTGGTTTTCTGATCTATGCCACTACCTTTTTTTTTAAAGGTATATGCATATCTGTATTTTAAAGGTATATGCATATCTGTATTCCCAGTCATGTGAAATCCATAGATTAGGACCTAATTAATTAATTTCAATTGACTGATTTCTTTATATGAACTGTAACTCAGTTTAAAAAAATATGTGTTGCATGTTAAGTTTTATATTTTTGTTCACTGTGTGTGTGTGTGTGTGTATATGTATATATCTTTCAAAGATAATTCGTAAAAATCCAAATAACTTCACAGATCTTCATTGTAAAGGGTTTAAACACTGTTTCCCATGCTTGTTCAATTAAACATAAACAATTAATGAACATGCACCTGTGGAACGGTCATTAAGACACTAACAGCTTACAGACGGTAGGCAATTAAGGTCACAGTTATGGACATTTAGGACGCTAAAGAGGCCTTTCTACTGACTCTGAAAAACACCAAAAGAATGATGCCCAGGGTCCCTGCTCATCTACGTGAACATGCCTTAGGCATGCTGCAAGGAGGCATGAGGACTGCAGATGTGGCCAGGGCAATAAATTGCAATGTCCATACTGTGAGATACCTAAGACAGCGCTACAGGGAGACAGGACGGACAGCTGATCGTCCTCGCAGTGGCAGACCACATATAGCAACACTTGCACAGGATCGGTACATCCGGATGGCAACAACAACTGCCCGAGTTACACCAGGAACGCACAATCCCTCCATCAGTGCTCAGACTGTCCGCAATAGGCTGAGAGAGGCTGGACTGAGGGCTTGTAGGCCTGTTGTAAGGCAGGTCCTCACCAGACATCCCCAGCAACAACTTCGCCTATGGGCACAAACCCACTGTCTCTGGACCAGACAGGACTGGTAAAAAGTGCTCTTCACAGACGAGTCGCGGTTTTGTCTCACCAGGGGTGATGGTCGGATTTGCGTTAATCGTCGATGGAATGAGCGTTACACCGAGGCCTGTACTCTGGAGGGGGATCGAGGTGGAGGGTCCGTCATGGTCTGGGGCGGTGTGTCACAGCATCATCGGACTGAGCTTGTTGTCATTGCAGTCAATCTCAACACAGTGCGTTACAGGGAAGACATCCTCCTCCCTCATGTGGTACCCTTCCTGCAGGCTCATCCAGACCTGACCCTCCAGCATGACAATGCCACCAGCCATACTGCTTGTTCTGTGCGTGATTTCCTGCAAGACAGTAATGTCAGTGTTCTGCCGTGGCCAGCGAAGAGCCCGGATCTCAATCCCATTGAGCAAGTCTGGGACCTTTTGGATCGGAGGGTGAGGGCTAGGGCCATTCCCCCCAGAAATGTCCTGGAACTTGCAGGTGCCTTGGTGGAAGAGTGGGGTAACATCTCACAGCAAGAACAGGCAAATCTGGTGCACTCCATGAGGAGGAGATGTACTGCAGTACTTAAAGCAGCTGTTGGCCACACCAGATACTGACTGTTACTTTTGATTTTGACCCCCCCTTTGTTCAGGGACACATTATTCAATTTCTGTTAGTCACATGTCAGTGGAACTTGTTCAGTTTATGTCTCAGTTGTTGAATCTTATGTTCATACAAATATTTACACATGTTAAGTTTGCTGAAAATAAATGCAGTTGACAGTGAGGACGTTTCTTTTTTTGCTGTGTGTGTATATATATATATATATATATATATATATATATATATATATATATATATATATATATATATATATATATATATATATATATATATCAAATCAAATGTTATTGGTCACATGCGCCGAATACAACAGGTGCAGACATTACAGTGAAATGCTTACTTACAGCCCTTAACCAACAGTGCATTTATTTTAAACAAAAAAAGTAAGAATAAAACAACAACAAAAAAAGTGTTGAGAGAAAAAAAAGAGCAGAAGTAAAATAAAGTGACAGTAGGGAGGCTATATATACAGGGGGGTACCGTTGCAGAGTCAATGTGCGGGGGCACCGGCTAGTTGAGGTAATATGTACATGTGGGTAGAGTTAAAGTGACTATGCATAAATACTTAACAGAGTAGCAGCAGCGTAAAAAGGATGGGGTGGGGGGGCAGTGCAAATAGTCCGGGTAGCCATGATTAGCTGTTCAGGAGTCTTATGGCTTGGGGGTAGAAGCTGTTGAGAAGTCTTTTGGACCTATGTATATATATATACAGTGGGGGAAAAAAGTATTTAGTCAGCCACCAATTGTGCAAGTTCTCCCACTTAAAAAGATGAGAGAGGCCTGTAATTTTCATCATAGGTACACGTCAACTATGACAGACAAAATGAGGGGAGAAAATCACATTGTAGGATTTTTAATGATTTTATTTGCAAATTATGGTGGAAAATAAGTATTTGGTCAACAACAAAGTTTCTCAATACTTTGTTATATACCCTTTGTTGGCAATGACACAGGTCAAACATTTTCTGTAAGTCTTCACAAGGTTTTCACACACTGTTGCTGGTATTTTGGCCCATTCCTCCATGCAGATCTCCTCTAGAGCAGTGATGTTTTGGGGCTGTCGCTGGGCAACACAGACTTTCAACTACCTCCAAAGATTTTCTATGGGGTTGAGATCTGGAGACTGGCTAGGCCACTCCAGGACCTTGAAATGCTTCTTACGAAGCCACTCCTTCGTTGCCCGGGTGGTGTGTTTGGGATCATTGTCATGCTGAAAGATCCAGCCACGTTTCATCTTCAATGCCCTTGCTGATGGAAGGAGGTTTTCACTCAAAATCTCACGATACATGGCCCCATTCATTCTTTTCTTTACACGGATCAGTCGTCCTGGTCCCTTTGCAGAAAAACAGCCCCAAAGCATGATGTTTCCACCCCCATGCTTCACAGTAGGTATGGTGTTCTTTGAATGCAACTCAGCATTCTTTGTCCTCCAAACACGACGAGTTGAGTTTTTACCAAAAAGTTCTATTTTGGTTTCATCTGACCATATGACATTCTCCCAATCCTCTTCTGGATCATCCAAATGCACTCTAGCAAACTTCAGACGGGCCTGGACATGTACTGGCTTAAGCAGGGGGACACGTCTGGCACTGCAGGATTTGAGTCCCTGGCGGCGTAGTGTGTTACTGATGGTAGGCTTTGTTACTTTGGTCCCAGCTCTCTGCAGGTCATTCACTGGTCCCCCCCGTGTGGTTCTGGGATTTTTGCTCACCGTTCTTGTGATCATTTTGACCGCACGGGGTGAGATCTTGCGTGGAGCCCCAGATCGAGGGAGATTATCAGTGGTCTTGTATGTCTTCCATTTCCTAATAATTGCTCCCACAGTTGATTTCTTCAAACCAAGCTGCTTACCTATTGCAAATTCAGTCTTCCCAGCCTGGTGCAGGTCTACAATTTTGTTTCTGGTGTCCTTTGACAGCTCTTTGGTCTTGGCCATAGTGGAGTTTGGAGTGTGACTGTTTGAGGTTGTGGACAGGTGTCTTTTATACTGATAACAAGTTCAAACAGGTGCCATTAATACAGGTAACAAGTGGAGGACAGAGGAGTCTCTTAAAGAATAAGTTACAGGTCTGTGAGAGCCAGAAATCTTGCTTGTTTGTAAGTGACCAAATACTTATTTTCCACCATAATTTGCAAATAAATTCATAAAAAATCCTACAATGGGATTTTCTGGATATTTTTTTCTCAATTTGTCTTTCATAGTTGACGTGTACCTATGATGAAAATTACAGGCTTCTCTCATCTTTTTAAGTGGGAGAACTTGCACAATTGGTGGCTGACTAAATACTTTTTTCCCCCACTGTATATAAAAAAGATATATATATATCTTTTTTTCTGTTTGGCCTTTATAGATTGTTTATTTGTATGTGTTGGGCTTTAGCTCAGATTATTCTTTAGTCAAGTATATTTGTCCAGGCCTCAATTGTTTGTTGCCTATCACCATTCATTCTCGCTGTTGATAATTCTGTTAACTTCTAATAGTAACTGTATCCACTGGCGAATTGGGAGAGTGAGGTGATTGCCATCTAAGAGCCAACATCTTTTTTGCAGCAGCGCTGCCTGCCAGCAGTTATCGTCTCTGATTTATTGATTTTCAAGGAGCTATCATCGTTAAGTAACATAGTAGATGCAAAGTATTGAAAATGTACATTCATGCACTTCGAACTGAATTGTGTAACTTTGTCCCAGAAGCATTTAACTGCAGAGCACTCCCACATCATATGAGTTAGGGGACACTGAACATTTGGGAGTTGGGGCAAATTTCATTGTGAAACGTTTCCTTGTTGTTAAATACAGTCTGTGAACAAACTTAAAATGTATAAGTTGATGGTTTGGATTACGGGATGTGAAGGTCATATTTTCCATATTCAGTTTCAGTTAAAGGGTTGTTTATATTCACTTAAATCTGTGGAACATACTTTTTTAATGACTAGCTCAGAATATGAGCTTTCCAGAAGTTGTTTATATATTATAGAGATCAGTCCTTTCGGGAGCCCAGATCATTTTTTATGAATCCTATCATTGGATGGTTCGGTAGTTGGGTTTTCCATGTGACTCCATAGGCCAGCAAAGTAGACCTAAGTTATACATATAGAAAAAAGGAGTTGCCTGGTAATGTCTTTCAAATCTAGGAATGTTTTCAAACCATTATTGTCCATGATATTGACATGGGTACGGATTCCACATTTGGACCATTGGGGGGATGCAAAACGCCGCCCTCCAGATCGCAAGGCATTATTGTGAAATATTGAAGTATGGGATTACATTATTTTTACATTTTGTGCCAAATAGAGATTGTGTGAGCAATAATCGGACCAAAGCGTAGTTTACATTGTTTAAGGGATATAGTGAGCTCCAAAAGTATTGGGACAGTGACACATTTCTGTTGTTTTGTCTCTATACTCCAGCACTTTTGGATTGGAAATGATGCAATGACTGAGGTTAAAGTGCACAGTGTCAGCTGTCATTTTCATCCATATCGGGTGAACCGTTTAGATATTCCATAAGTAGAGATGGCGTCCTCCATCGGGGTCTTGAGAGGCAGATTTTGTTAGTTATTTTATATCTTGAGATGGAGCTGAATTTGTCTATGATCTTCAAAGCATTTGGGAGGGATTGAAATACATTGTCTAGATAAAGTAAGATATCGTTGGCGTAATGAGATGGCGTGATCTGTCGAATTGTGACATTGGTGTATTTTCTTTCGACTGTCTAATTGCCTGGGCCAGGGCTCCTTAGACAATACAAATAGTGTTACTTTTCTGATGAGCTAATATAAACGCTTTGCCTCTTCCAGCCGCCCAGTCAGCACAATGGTACGCATGGGGTCCTCCCAACATGCAGTGCAGACTGTGTGCCTCCTGCTGGATCTACTGGAAGAAGTATGGAGGCCTGAAGACCCCCACACAGCTAGAGGGCACCGCAAGATCTGTCTCAGTACGTCTGCTTTCACTAACCAGCTTCCCTAAACCTGGATGCATCTCAGTAGCCTTAAGTGGTTTCCTTTCCTTTATCTACATTGGACAGGGAAGAGTGCGTTCATATTTATATTTCATAATTCCTGGTGGGCATCCACCTTGTTGCTTTCAACTATCCTGTGTTATCAGATCATTACAGCGGCAGGAGACGAGGAGAGGAAGCCACTGTAGACTAGTGAGATGGTCAGTGCTATCCGGCATCCTTGGGTCGTCCCTAATCTAACCCTTACCATAACCATTTAAAATGTCAACTTCAATGGGGTAGGGACGTCCCAAGGAGCCCTGATAGCACGGACCCTATTGAAATGTACCCACTGAACTGAGTCAGTGTGACCAGTCATGATATTTCAATATGTTAACTTGACTCTTTTGACCCCTCCTCAGGAGTCCACTCCGCGCGGTCACATGACCCGCCAGGAGGTGCAAGGCCTGTCCCCGTTCACGACGAGCGGGGGGCGTGCCAAGCTGCTGGCCAAGAACCGCCAGACGTTCATCCTGCAGACCACCAAGCTGACGCGTATTGCCCGCCGCGTCTGCACTGACATCCTGCAGCCCCGCCGCGCGGCACGCCGCCCCTACGCCTCCATCAACGCAAACGCCGTCAAGGCTGAGTGTGAGTAGAGGAGATACTTTATACACACACACACTGTGTATATATAGACACCCACACAGACATGCATTACATGCGCACACACACACATTATACACAATCAGACACATGATTTTCACATATGCACTGCTTATTGTCATCTTTCTTTTCTTCCTCAGGTATGATAAGGCTTCCTAAAGCAACTAAGGCCCCTATAAAGAACCGTTCGATCCCTCGACCACTGCTGGCCACCATAGTGAAGGAACTGGGTAAGAATCCACCAACCACCAGAGAGCTCCTAAGAGATATTTTATTTATTACTTCTCAAAATAGCATTGTAAACTCTTGGCACTCAAAACACTTGCCTGTAGTTTTCCCCTACAATTCTCTTTTTGTAGTTGTATGTCAATTCTCTTTCAATACTCTTTATAGCTTCAACGGGATAGTTAGGCTCCTTTCTATTTTAAGTGGCTTGATTTTGGTTTGTGATTGGTCCTCTCCTGTCCTCTCCCTAGCCATCCAGGCTCCACTCAAGCTGAAGGCCCCCAGAGGCGCTCCCACACCCATCAACCGTAACCAGGCCAACCAGCCCCGCGGGGGATCAGGCCTGCTCGGGAAGAGGCCCTTTGACAGCAGCGTGAGTACTCTTCAGTCCACACTCACACACACACACACACACACACAAAAACACACCATGACCACACCACAACCACCATTTTGACTTCCCCTATCTCTCTGTCTGTCAAACTATATATGTGACACTGACAGGTTCTTGTTTGGTATAGACAGCCTGTTATCTTTCCTCTGTGACTGTAACCTTGGTTGGTGTCTCCTGTCCCTGTCTACTCAGACTGTGGAGAGGGACAGACTGGCACACTGGTTCTTCTGTAACAGTGGGAGATTCACTGACTAGAGCCCGACCGATAAATCGGTTGACCAATATCGTCGGCCGAAATTAGCCTTTCACTGAAATATTTGTATCGTTTTTTTAAAGCGCGGATATTACATACATAGAATAAACAAATACGTCTGCTCATTTGCGTTTTTTAAATATTTTGCCTGAAGAGGGCGCTCTACCAGCTGCTCATTGAACATCATTCAGCCCTAGGTCACAATGTGAGAGTAGGCATGGTGGTTTGACGGTGAGTAGCTTGTTACAGGCAGCGTATTTGAATAAGTAAATAATCAAAAGTACACTTCACCATGCAAGCAGCCCAGTCCTCATCACATTCTCACTTAGTTAACGTAGTTAGCTTAGCTATCTAGCCAGCAAGGTAATTAGCTTAGCTAGCTAGCAATCTGTTCTACTTATGTGCTGACACTGGACTGGTGCCAAAGTGAACACTTGTCCTTGATACAAAAAGAACACTGTTACTGTCTGGGCCTATTATGTTAGCTAGTGGGTTTATTTAGTTTGTTTTCCGAAATATGCAATCTGAAAAAAGTGAGACATTTGCCACAGATCAATCATTCAGGCCATGTGTTTGCGTTCATTATGAGATGAGTAACTAATGTTAGTTAGCTAGCTAAATTAGAATGTGTGACTAAAACCAGTGCGGCAAACATTTGCCTGCAGTGCCTTGTGGCTCAGTTGGTAGACCATGACGCTTGCAACGCCAGGGTTGTGGGTTCTATTCCCACAGGGGACCAGTACTAAAAATGTATGCACTCACTACTGTAAGTCACGCTGGATGAGAGCATCTGCTAAATTACAAAAAAAAAATGAAATAAAAATGTTCAGTCATCAGCGCATGCCATTTGCAGTTGACATTTATAAGCAATACATTTTGTAAACAACCCTGCATCCCACTGCTGGCTTGCCTCTGAAGCTAAGCAGGGTTGATCCTGAAAGGTCCCTGGATGGGAGACCAGATGCTGCTGGAAGGGGTGTTGGAGGGCCAGCAGGAGGCACTCTTTCCTCTGGTCTTTTAAAAAAGAATAACCCAGTGCCCCAGGGCAGGGATTGGGGACATTGCCCTGTGTAAGGTGCCGTCTTTCGAATGGGACGTTAAACGTGTGTCCTGACTCTCTGTGGTCACTAAAGATCCCATGGCACTTATTGTAAGAGTAAGGGTGTTAACCCCGGTGTGCTGGCTAAATTCCCAATCTGGCCCTCGTACCATCATGGCCACCTAATCATCCCCAGCTTCCAATTGGCTTATTCATTCCCCATCCTCTCCTCTGTAACTATTCCCTAGGTCGTTGCTGTAAATGAGAATGTGGTCTCAGTCAACTTACCTGGTAAGTGGTTAAATAAAGGGTTAAATAAAAAACATTTTGTATTGAATAACAGTGTAATGAAGAAAACATTGTTGTAAGGAACAGCTAGCTTGTGCTTGTCATAACATACTCGCATTGCTAGGTTGCCATAAAGTGTTTGTTTACATGACCTTTGACTGTTGTAAACACTGGAGTATGTCTACTCAATACAAATGCTGACACCTAGTGGTGACATTACGAACTGCATTTCAAAGCTTATTTGTGAACTTGTCAACAGTGCCCTTTCAGATTTACTTTGAGACAAAGTTTCATTAATTCAGCCAGCCACCCCTTGTGGTGGTTTAGCACAAACACTTGTGCATACTTATCCACTGCCATAGATATGCATATCTTTAAGTGGTACCTAAGAAGGTAAACTAAATAAGTTTTGTATTTACTGTCATATTTATAGAGGATATAGTTGATTTTTGATGGATATCCTGTAAACCACAAATAAAATGTTCTTAAATTATGTAAATTGTAATATTTTGTTAAGAAATCATCATTTAGAGTGTCTGTTTATCCTTTGGAGCACAAATTGTGTAAAACATTTTTTTTGTAAAACATTGTTTTATTCCAACTCTAAAAATATATATATATCGGCAGATGTATCGGTAATCGGTGACTTTTGCTTCCCTAAAATCGATATCGGACCCAAAAATACCATATTGGTCGGGCTCTACCACTGACCATCTGTCCAAGTCCCTCCACCACCTCTGAGCAAAGCAGCATCACCACAGCTTGGGCCAAGTGGCTACACACACACACACACACACTTGCATGCGGCACACACACACAAACACACAGGCGTGGAACACCACGCGCACACACACACATACACACACACACACACACATACATACACACACGCACGCGTACACACACCTCTCTTCCCTCACCGCTCTTCTCTCATTAGTCACAGGCGGTAGGGCTGCCGTTCCCCACCAATGGGAGGCCGTTCACATCGGGCATGAGGACCACCTCCCAGTCGGTGATCAAGCGTCAGAAAGTGAACCAGGGAGACGCACCCAACCCTGTGGTGTTTGTGGCCACGAAAGACACCAGGTACTGTCCTTAGCACAGAGTTCTGTCTGTATCTAGTAGCAGACAGCAATGGAGGATACTAATTAGATTCTGTCCTTTTTTGTTGAGAAATGTACAGAGTTGTACCCTGAGTGTACAAAACATTAGGAACATTGCTCTTTCCATGACATAGACTGACCAGGTGAATCCCGGTGGAAAGCTATGATCCCTTATGGATGTCACTTGTTAAATCCACTTCAAGCAGTAGATGAAAGGGAGTAGACCGGTTAAAGAAGGTTTTTTAAGCCTTGAGACAATTGAGACATGGATTGTGTATGTGTGCCATTCAGAGGGTGACTGGGCAAAACAAAATATTGATGTGCCTTTTGAACGGGGTAGTAGGTGCCAGGCGCACCGGTTTGAGTGTGTCGAACTGCAAAGTTGCTAGGTTTTTCACACTCAACCGTTTCCCGTGTGTATCAAAAATGGTCCACCACTCAAAGGACATCCAGCCAACTTGACACAACTGTGGGAAGCATCCCCGTGGAACACTTTCGACACCTTGTAGAGTCCATGCCCCGACGAATTGAGGCTGATCTGAAGGCAGAAGGGCTGCAACTCAATATTAGGAAGGTGTTCCTATTGTTTTATACACTCAGTGTATATATGGAATACCTGACATAAAGGGATCAATCAGATCTCTATGGCAGTAGATTCAGTGGGGGAATTTGCCTTGCCAAAGTTTTTTTTTTTTTTTTACCAAAAGTTTGCATTTGTTGATTCATGTGTAATATTGCATTAAACTAGCTTGAAGACAAGAAGGATTCACTTCTTTGCACCTGTGCACTTTGATATTAGACTCCTAGGTGTGCTTATGTGGATCTTGTCAGTCCTATAGCTAATTTACTGTGTTGTTTCTCTCCTCTCAAGGGCTCTGAGGAAACACCTGACCCAGTCTGAGATGCGGCGTGCAGCCAGAAAACCTCACCTCCCTGTCAGGGTCAAGCTGCCCTTAGGCCCCCGGCCCCTGGTACTGCCCATCATGCCATCCAGCACCAGCGAGCCCATCGTCCTGGAGGACTAACCCCCCCCCCCCCCCCTCTGCAACACTGGCGCGCACCACCGCGCACCCACCTGCTAGTGCAGCAGGGCACGTCATACCCAGTAGTCGTTTTCTGTTGTCAGATTTTTTTTATTGTCTTCTGTTCTGTTACTTCGCAAAAGCTGACGTACTGCTCACCTCACACACACTTTAGTGACACTCACATGCATACTTTGCATTGAGTTCACACATATACATGGCACCATTACTTCTCTACACACACTTACACCCACTTACACGCGCTAGGCTTTGGGCTTTGTAGTATTTTATTCCGGCTCTTTTTGCTCAATTATTTCGCTCCTCTTTTTTTAATGGCAAATATTTTTAAATGTGTAATTTAAAATCAGAAATATTTCTCATCCTGAAATAATGGTGTTAAAACACACTTTATTTTTTCCTCCAGATCTTATTTGTGTAAATATTTGCAGAATTTTGAGGGGGTGACACCTATTTGGTTGGGGACGGGTGGGTGAGTGGTTGTGGGAGGGCCATAGAAAGAAATATAAATACTAGAAGGGACAAAGTCCCTCAGACCACAGCAATTTGACTGAATGTCCATTCTAGGTATTCTAATTCTATTGGGAATTTTTAGCATGTTTCTTTGATTCTTTTTCTGGGAAAGTCTATTTAGATGAAGGTTTCATTCACATGTTCCATCATAGGTCTGGGAGGTTGAGGTAAAGTGCTTTGTATGACCCATCATTCAAGCATACTTGTCAAATAATCCGATTTTACTTTTTGACACTCATTCTGTTAGACTTTAATTTGCACCATCACCCTGCCCCTCTCCACACACCGAAATAAGAACTGACCCCCCCTATCGCTCCACAAGCCTATCAGAAGTTACGTTTGATGGGTTGATAGTGAGGAAACACATGCTGTTGACCCCTAGTAGTTTGAGCGCCGTTTTTTTCTAGTTGATTGTTGTCACAATCAATTTGAGTCCTGTCTTGTCTCCTATCACTTGATTGTCATGCTTGTTACAGCCATGTTTTACCCATCTGGAGAGAGAGACATTCTGGATCCTTCTCTGTAAAGCCTTTGGGGTGCGTTTTGGTTTTGACCCGCTAGAACGACTGCTCGAGTACAACGGTCTTGTATCATCAATACAATGGTAGTGGAGAGTAATGGTTTAGGAAAGGTAATGTAGGTTAACAGGATAGAAGAGATTCATCTCACGTAGGTTTGGAAGATATTCAAAAGTGTGTTCTGGATGCGGATCTGATGGGTTACTGTGGTTTGAGACATGCGGAATAGATGCTGTTGTCTTTAAGGCCCGTATTGTGAAAAATATGGGTTATTTTTCGTGAAGGAGACAGAATTAAGCCATAAACATTCAAGGTGTGTATAACTCTATTCTAAGATGGCCCCTGTGCATGTTTCCACCTGTACGTATAAAACATACTTTCAGATCCCCCACCCATAGACTAGGTCACAGCATTTATGACAATGGACTGTTTGGCTCTTGCTTTTGAATGGAAATGGAAAAATTATGTTACGAGCTGGTTGTCAGAATGTCGTTACTAAAGCAGCAATATGTATTGGCTTGGGTACAGAAGTCATGTTTTAAATGATATGATGATGGGAGAGGAATCTCCAGTGATGTCTCTACTTGTGGATTGATTTGGTTTGAATCTTTATTTTACCCTTTTGTGTTTTATGATGAAAGGGTGCGTTAGATTAAATCAATGCTTAATTGGATATTATTATAATTCCTCATACTCCCTCAGGTGTTGTGAACTGACAGCCAGTACTGAGGTAGAAATGAAGGATTTATATGCAAGTTTGGTCCCAATGTGGGCTTTTGTAATGTTTCTAAAACAAATTGTAGTGTTAAAATGCTTAGCGAAAATACTAATCTGAAGAAGAAAAAACTTGGCCTATTGAAAACGTCAGTGTTTTTTTTATATAAAACCTTTAAAAAAAGCTTGTAATTACTTCATATTTTGGAGAGGGTTAAAATACTGTACATGTGAACATTGCTCTCCGTCATTGAGTGGGATTGGGATGGGAGACGGGGGATGGTTGGCCATCAAAGCAGTTGGGAGGGATGAAGAGGGGGTTAGACTTTTGTATGTTGGGAGAGAATTATGCTACAATTAAACATTTTTTCTCAAGTGTTTTTTATTCCAATGTGTCTGTATCCTTTTAATGTATCTTGATAAGAAAATAAATAAAGATTTTTTTTCTTCGTGGTCGTATACACATTTCTCTTTTTCATGCCTGTACTTTTTCTGAGTGTGTATGAAATGCATTGTCCTCTAGTTGTCAGTGACAACAAATGTAAACACATGATTAAAATGTAATTACATCTCACATTAAATGTAATCCTATCAATTGAAACCTAAATTGTGAGGCATACATATGAGCCACATGATGGTGTTGGATTTGTTTGTTTTTTAAAATACTGTAACCCTAGCTAGATGAGTCCCCCAAACATGCAAATTATATTTTATTATATTCAAACAGGGGCATTATCAATCATGATCACACAATATTGAATGTCACACAAAGGTTTATATTTTCCCCCAACAGAAAGCATTTAATTAACAAATTACACGGGTGAGAGGTTGACCTCCAACTGTGGTGTAAATTGACACAGAATGGGTGTTTATGTACTCAATGGGTTTACCGTTAGTAATCAGGGAAGTAATTGTTTATTGCGCCTGTGCGGCCCCTCTGATCTTGCCTACTTTGATATGGGGCCATTTCATCCGGCGCTAAAACTGCAACGTTGTCGCAGAGCTTCAACGCAATTGGCCGGTTGCTAATGAATACCAGCTACGTTGTATCTGGTTGGTGGATTCGAACGCCCACGGACTTTTAGGGTTGTACAGCTAAGCCACATTTTAAAGGGAACGCGGGAGTGGGAACTTGATCAATATATTTTTTAAACTGTACACAGCGACAGATAGTACATGCGACTTCATAACAAAGAAAGCAGGGTAGTATGTAGTCCACGTCTTTAGCGAAATACGTTTCCCTATTTCCGCAATTTCTACGAATTGCATGTCGAAAACGTATACATCTAGAATTTGGTTTGGACATTGAGGTTGCGATCTAACAGGTGTTGAGTACTTCGGGGGAAATCTTATCTTCAGTTCGCAACAATGTTTGAGGTAAACGGCTTGTGTGATACAGTACTTTGTTTCAGAAATAGTTTGTCAGTGTGATACTCATATTCGGTAGCATACACTGCTTTATTGCATTTTCTGAGTTAAAAAAAAGCCTTACACTTTATCCACTTTAAATTAGTCAGTTGTTTGTGGCAGCTGTTGAAATGCAGTATTCAGTCATGTAGATAGCCAGCCCAGATTCCGACTTTCATTCATTTATTCTCTAGTCGAACGGTGCTTTTCCAGAATGTGGGTAGGCAAAGTGCTGTATATGGCTTGTAAAATGTACTTCAATCCAGGGATGGATTATGTCGCTGTACTACTAATTATCCAGAAATGGTGAATCGAAAAGATTGGAATATTGTTTAAAGTAAACTGCCGTTTTCGTCAGCATGGTAGGCTAATACTTTAGCGCATTTAATTCAATGAAAATGTGACAGCCAGTGTTGTCGAATCCAATGGTTTGCATTAGCTAGCCTAGCATGTTGACGAAAACGGCATTGTAACTAAACTAGCAGTATTTCAATCTTCTCGACATAAAATGTTGGATAATTAGGAGTACAGCGCCCTCTCCCATCCCTGGATTGAGGTACATTATCTGAGCCATATCTCGCCCCGGCTCCGCGGTGTCCTGATCATTGCAGCCTGCCATTCAGACCTTACAGGGAAATGTAATTACAGCGACCATGATCTGAATCTTTAGGCTATCATGTGGATAGATCAGATTAGCATGTCCTTTTGTCAGCCTACGCTTGTTTTTTGACATTGCGTGATTTTGCTGTCATTAGTGTCTTCACCTACACAATACACTGAGATCCAGTATTGCTAGAGTACTGTTGAATTTTGACCTTGCCTCTAGACCCAGTTTTTCATGGGCCTAAATAGTCTAGGCCTACCATCCAAATAATAATTTAACCCTGATATTAAATATGCTTTTCTCCTCAGACCAGCAGTGACAACCTGCCCTTGTTCTCCTACCAAGATGAGGGGATAGATGACCTGTGCCCAGGGGAGCAGGGCTCAGCTGGTGTTGGGGGAGACATGTCCCTGGCTGAGGCCCTCCTTCCCCTAGTAGAGTCTCCCTCTCTCCCCCTGATCCCCTGGAAGTGTTCCACCCGCTACAAGACAGAGCTCTGCAGCCGCTATGCTGAGACGGGCTTCTGCATGTACGCAAAGCGCTGCCAGTTTGCCCACGGCTTCCATGACCTCCACGTGCCCTCCCGCCAACTCAAGTACAAGACGGAGCTGTGCCGCACCTTCCACACGGCAGGCTACTGCACCTACGGCATCCGCTGCCTGTTCGCCCACAATGCCATGGAGCAGCGCCCCACCCGCCACCTCAACATCCCCTGCCGTACCTACCGCTCATTCGGCGTGTGCCCCTTCGGCAGTCGCTGCAACTTCCTGCACATTGAGAGTGACGGTAGCGGCAGCTTCAGTGGTGGCGGCCTGGAGTCTCCAGACAGCGCTGCTGAGGATAAGGTCCCCATTGCCAGGCCCCAACCATACACTCAGGGCTGGAAGCCCCGCAGGGCCCTGTGCCGCACCTTCAGCTCCTTTGGCTTCTGCCTCTACGGCACCCGCTGCCGCTTCCAGCACAGCCTGACCAGCAGCATCAGAGGCCCTGACTCCACCACCCAGGGGGGTGACTGCACTCCTCAGCTGTCCGGTGGGAGAGCCCTGTCCACAGCCTCAGACATGTTCTCCTCCTCACCCTGCTCATCCAACTCCTCCTCGCCCCCCTCTGGACTACCCTCCCCGATCTGGCCAGACGACTCGTCTCCCCTGACCACCCTGCTGAACGAGCCCGTGGCCCACAATGCCTTCACCTTCTCCTGCCAGCTGAATGATCTGCTGCTGCCTTTGGCCCTCAGACTCCAGAAGCTGGAGAACAGCCAGGCCATGGCCGCTGCCTGCACCATGCAGGATGTGTGCGAGAACAAGCCATGGTCACTGTAGTCAAGACCACAGTATTTTTGTTGTAATGTATAGTGTATATAGTCATGTATACTGTATATAGGGATTTGCTATGCGCTTGGAAGCCATATGCGTCAATGTATTTTAATTGAGGGGGTTGGGCTGAGTGTCGGTTTTGGTGTTCCATGCGTTAATCTTCCATGATAGTTTGGAGAAATGTTGGGACTGTCCTGCACTACATTTGTATAGCCTCTGTTGATTTTATCAAATTATTATAATTTTTTTACAATGAGTTTTGACTCACCCATCTCTATATGTAAATTAGGTTTTTAACTATTTGAATCAGTTATCAATGTTGGATTCATAAATGTCATGTCTAAGTTTTTCAATAAAATTTATTGTGACACTTCTGCCTCAAAGGAACTTAAAAAAAAATATATATATATACACACACAGTTGAAGTCGGAGGTTTGCATACACCTTAGCCAAATAAATTTATACTCAGTTTTTCACAATTCCTGACATTTAATCCTAGTAAAAATTCCCTGTTTTAGGTCAGTTAGGATCACCATTTTATTTTAAGAATGTGAAATGTCAGAATAATAGTAGAGAGAATTATTTATTTCAGCTTTTATTTCTTTCATCACATTCCCAGTGGGTAAGAAGTTTACATACACTCAATTAGTATTTGGTAGCATTGCCTTTCAATTGTTTAACTTGGGTCAAACGTTTCGGGTAGCCTTCCATAAACTTCCCACAATAAGTTGGGTGAATTCTGGCCCATTCCCCCTGACAGAGCTGGTGTAACTGAGTCAGGTTTGTAGGCCTCCTTGCTCGCACACGCTTTTTCAGTTCTGGCCACACATTTTCTATAGGATTGAGGTCAGTGCTTTGTGATGGCCACTCCAATGCCTTGACTTTGTTGTCCTTAAGCCATTTTGCCACAACTTTGGAAGTATGCTTGGGGTCATTGTCCATTTGGAAGAACCATTTGCAACCAAGCTTTAACTTCCTGACTGATGTCTTAAGATGTTGCTTCAATATATGCACATCATTTTCCTTCCTCATGATGCCATTTACTTTGTGAAGTGCACCAGGCCCTCCTGCAGCAAAGCACCCCCACAGCATGATGCTGCCACCCCCGTGCTTCACGGTTGGGATGGTGTTCTTCGGCTTGCAAGCCAACCCCTTTTTCCTCCAAACATAACGATGGTCATTATGGCAAAAAAGTTCTATTTTTGTTTCATCAGACCAGAGGACATTTCTCCTTTGTCCCCATGTGCAGTTTCAAACTGTAGTCTGGCTTTTTTATGGCGGTTTTGAAGCAGTGGCTTCTTCCTTGCTGAGTGGCCTTTCAGGTTATGTTGATATAGGACTCGTTTTACTGTGGATATAGATACTTTTGTACCTGTTTCCTCCAGCATCTTCACAAGGTCCTTTGCTGTTCTGGGATTGATTTGCACTTTTCGCACCAAAGTACGTTCATCTCTAGGAGACAGAACACGTCTCCTTCCTGAGTGGTATGACGGCTGCGTGGTCCCATGGTGTTTATACTTGCGTACTATTGTTTGTACAGATAAACGTGGTACCTTCAGGCGTTTGGAAATTGCTCCCAAGGATGAACCAGACTTGTGGAGGTCTACAATTTTTTTTCAGAGGTCTTGGCTGATTTCTTTTGATTTTCCCATGATGTCAAGCAAAGAGGCACTGAGTTTGAAGGTAGGCCTTGAAATACATCCACAGGTACACCTCCAATTGACTCAAATGATGTCAATTAGCCTATCAGAAGCTTCTAAAGCCATGACATCATTTTCTGGAATTTCCAAGCTGTTTAAAGGCACAGTCAACTTAGTGTATGTAAACTTCTGACACACTGGAATTGTGATACAGTGAATTATAAGTGAAATAATCTGTAAACAATTGTTGGAAAAATTACTTGTGTCATGCCAAAACTATAGTTTGTTAACAAGAAATGTGTGGAGTGGTTGAAAAACGAGTTTGAATGACTCCAACCTAAGTGGATGTAAACTTCCGACTTCAACTGTATGAATGTTCCTTCACTGAACTAGCTGGAACTTCTCACTGCTAAACGCACTCCCTTTATTTTTTATTTGACTGGGTAGGCTTTCTACCTATTTGGCCATCAGGCTTTATTAAAGAGATTTATTGCATAAACCATGCTCTCCAATGGCAACTTTTCTGTCAATTTACTTGACCATTTTGGGATGCAACCCTCAGCCTGTGTGGATTCGAATGCACTCCTTTACTAAAGATTGTTTTACCTTCCTGGCACTGCTGTTGCAGATGCAGCTATTTTCAAGGGTCTACTTGCAATAACGTTTATTTTCCTTTGAAACTTGGCGTTCAACTAAGTCGCTCTGGATAAGCACATCTAAATGACAATGTCATGTAAATGTATAATTACACAGGCTCACGCATCTAATATCAAGACAAGTATAGGACTTATAATGACAATTTGGGCAATTCAAACAGCTAAGAGACTTCACGCTTGTTTGAAAATGTGGTCGTAGGCGCCGTATGGATGGTGTGACGCAATTGCGGAGCCTCGGGATACGCAGAGGCCAAATTGAGCTCATTTGTAACGATGTGGAGGGCTCCGTATTGACATGATTGGTTTACGGGAGGTTCTGTATAAACGCACGCACTCCTTTACAACTTCCTTCACAACAGCGCTGCTCAGCGACGCGCAAGAAGTATGAATGCCCTGACTTCTGCAGAGGCCATATCACCCTTAATACTGCACAGCCAATGTAGACCTCAGATTGACCATGTAGAGCCTTTAAGACTTTTTAGTAACGCTTGGTCCCCAACCAAGTAAAAGGCGCTACATGGTCAATTCCACGTCTGAAGTGGGCGGACTGCATTTCCTGCATGCAGCCTCTACAGACGTCAGAGCTTTCAAACTTGCGTTTAGCAGAGCTATTGTGACAGAAGACGTCAAGGAAGTGAGTTTGTGTTTATACAGGACTAACTGCCCCCAAATATCAACCAATCATGTCAATGCGGAGCTGTAAGGCGCCCTGCACATTGTTACAAAATTTGAGGCGCACGGTGACGCTGGATTTGGCCTCAGCGTTCCTGCGGAGGCGCAGCAATTGCGTCACACTTTCCATAGGAAGCCTCCGACCACATTTTCAGATCAAACTTAAGTTGCCTTTAACTCTATGGAAAGATGTGGCAACATTGTTTCAGCTGCTGCACACTTTCACCACCTTTGTCAAAGAGTAGGAGGGTCTTAGTTATGTGTACAATGAAAGCAAGTATGGGCAGACATAATTTTTAGGTGATGGGAAACTCCTTTGGAATCTTATTAGCGCCCATTGTGTATGTTGCCAATGCTACGTAAATGGGCCTCGGGGTGCGTACTGGGACTAGGAGAGCGCTCCTTCAACGAGTGAATAGGAGTCAATTGGGTGCTAGCTCAAAAACCCAACATTTGCATGAATTTCGTCAAGAAGTACAATATTACAAATATTGTATAGCTTTGGAATCGTGACATTACATACTTTCGAGAAAAATAGGCACAGTATGAAAAATGTATGCACTCACTAACTGTAAATCGCTCTGGATAAGAGCGTCTGCTAAATTACTAAAATGTAAAAGTTAAAATCTGACTGAGAAGAGATTCCGTGACGATGAGTTAGGGACCAGATGACGCAGAGGACGTGAACGCGATTGGTCGACAGTCTGCTGGGTGGGGCGTTAAACGTTCCTCCATTCATTGCCCAATGGGATTCCTATCTCCTCCTTTCTCTAATATCTCTGGTATGGGTAGCTGCAACCCAATATGGCGACCGGGGTCTGGGCGAGTGGGTGTGTCGAAAGGATACTGGGATGTTGCCACCCCCTTCTCAATGAAAGAGCGAGAGGGCCGGGGGGTTGGCTGTGGAGATTGGGACCCTCAAGGCTCAATAGTACATTGAAACTGGCTGGGAAACATCCGACTGGGAGGTGGGATCATGGAGACAGTGGAACACGTTCTATTTCAGTGCCAGAAAAATGGGAGGGAAAGGGAGCGATTGTTATTGGATTTGAGGAGCAATGGGGTTGAAGAGCCAAGATTAAGTGAACAGCTGGGTAAATCTTCAGGGGATGTATTGGGTAGGATTTAGACCTTCCCTGTCTCTGGTCCACACTACAATCCAGTTGGTAGCTGTAATGCACATGAAAATTGGTTGCCAACCGCCATAAAAAGAAATCCGCAGAAGTAGTGGTTGTGGGAGTGACGCACATTTGAGTGATAGCCAATTGGACCAATCTTTGTTCTCGGAAGGCTGGCTTTCCGGAAAATGTCAGCGGCAGCCGAGTGAGGTTCCTGTGCACGGTTTAGAGCGATAACCTAGCAAATTCATACTATCCAGTTGCACCAGTAGGTAAGTGATTGAGTGGCATTGAGTTACAGTCTGTTGGCATTGTTTTCGTGTAAAGTTTTAATCGTCGCCTTGCACGAATCAGTTAATATTGAAGGGTGCACGCATCAAAATAAATTGGCTAGCTAATAAACCATATTCGTTCACGTTAGCTAGCAAGCTAACTATACCAGCAAGTTACACCTGTGTGGTTATTTTGCAGGTCTCTCTCTGCAGAGCTGCGGGTGTACCGGGACGCTGCCGTGAGCATGGCGGACAGGGAGGAGAGGCGCTTCGCTGAAGTCCCCAGAGAGTCTGTCAAACTCATGGCCGAGAGTGCAGAAGTGGAACTCAGCGACGATGTGGCTGCTTTGCTGGTTGAAGATGTCTGCTACCGGCTTAGGGAAGCCACACAGGTAAACAATGAAACAGGTACCAAATCGATGTTTCAGTCATCAGCGCATGCCATTTGCAGTTGACATTTATAGGCAATACATTTAGTAAACAACCCTGTATCCCACTGCTGGCTTGCCTCTGAAGCTAAGCAGTGTTGATCCTGAAAGGTCCCTGGATGGGAGACCAGATGCTGCTGGAAGGGGTGTCGGAGGGCCAGCAGGAGGCACTCTTTCCTCTGGTCTTTAAAAAAGAATAACCCAGTGCCCCAGGGCAGGG